TATTGTATTAGGGGAGGAGAAGCAGTTTCATCTCTTGAGACAATCGTCTCCTGCTCAAAGAAAGAAATTGCCAGAGACCAGGTTCGAAACAAAAATGTAATGTTATCGAAATCCTGTTTTCCATAAATATTTTCGCTTATTTTTTTATAATTCTTCGATGGGTTTTTGTAATTACTAAAAAAAACTGTTGGGAAATTCATAAATTTACCTCCCCCTTATTGTACTAAGATAACGAAATTTTCATATTTTCCTATAATTGTGATTTCTTTTTTTGGTAGAAATCGTGCACAAAACCATAGTGGTTTCCTATATGAGCGTTCTACAAGGGATAATATCTTCGCTTGTCAGGTCACCGCTACATTTAAATCAACGAGCATGACGTCCACAAGTGATCCACAGAACAAAGCCTTGGCTCAACCAACATTAGAAGCTAAGCGCGACCAAAACCCATTAAACTCAAATCCAAACACCCAGTTTGTGGCAATTATTTTACCTCTTTAAATGAACATTTGGCAAAAGCTTCTCGTCCATGTGCAGTCATTAGAGCTCAATAACTAATTGATACAACGCCCGCGACACTCATTATAAAATCACTGATGATAACTAGAGCTCGGATGTTTACAACTTGGCATATTTTTTTCTCGCAACCAAAATTATACCCAAATATGATATAAATTCGATTTATGAAATCTCGATTGCAAATATGCAAACTTATTTTGCACACTTTTGCATATTTGACATTTTTGAGCATATAAAAACATATACCGATTATTTCTAGATTAAGTAGCATATATTTTATAAATTATATGTATAATATTAAATATTGTGCATAATATTGTAAATTATCATTAACGTTAATTATGTCATTTTCAGTCTACAAAAACTAACTGTCGGATCGTCAAAGGTTTGAAAATATCAGCAAAATTATTTTCGTACAGTGTAATCCTGATACTTATAGTGTGCTTAACCTATGTAAAATTAAACTTTAAAAGATCGAAAACTAATTAATATTTTTTTTTTTCATATTTATTAGCATTTATTTGCAAAAAAGTTATTATAAATACACATTCAAAATATTATATATATTTTTTTGAATTAATATTAACTATTTATTTATTTTTTTTTGCATATATTTGTAGCAACTACACAGTGGCGTATCAAAGGGGGGTAGGGGATTATATTCCCCCCCCCCCGGGAAATGTTTAGTGTATGTGTTTGTCTATTGATTATAATAAAAACACACAAAATTCAAAAAAGAATTTAATGTTACATTTTGATAACCCCCCCAAAAAAAAAAAAAAATTCTGGATACGCCACTGCAACTACATACAACTACATCATGTTTCCAAAGCAAAAACTTCAAATATTGTTAATAAACGACATCAATTAACCAAATAAGTTGTATTTTATGATTTGTGATAGGTACTGTACGTTTTAATTTAATTTTTTTTATTTTAAAAATATTTTTCGTAAAAAATACAGTTAACATTTCGTATCCTCTTTGGTTTTACAACGTATATAATAAAAAATTCTTCACTAAATTAAATATCTATGGTTACTAATGCATTGTTTCACAATAGTTCAATAGTAATGAAAATTCAGCGTAAAATTTAAACAGTGTTTATTACAAATAATTAAAACGTTTTCCATAACTGTGTAATTGGACCGTTGAAGATGTACGGAGACCACGTATCGGAGAACAATAAGCCAATACAACCGAAAGCTTTAGTGAAGCGTGGTTACACCGTTGCCGAACGGATTGGCCAAGGAGGATACGGAATGATTTTGACGGCCAGATCTGCGCGGCATCATAGCCGCATGGCGATCAAAGTGATCGAAAGATGTTCGTCGGACAGTGATTTACAAAAGGCCATCGAAAGCGAGAAACTGTTCGCCGACATGTTCGATCATCCTTACATCAACGTGTACCACGAAATCATAGAAACATCGAAAAGGTAAAAATAACAATCTCGGAATTATCGTCGTACGCGTTAAGTCCAATTCATTTTCACGTATACCGTTGCTCCACACACATTGTGCGAACAAAGTTTGTCGAGCGTAGAGTAATGATTTTTTTGCATTCTGCTGGACCGCTCGAACGACGGTCTGAGAGACCGCAAGAGCAACGGCAACTAACCGTTTTCGCGTTTTTCGTTGCATACAATCGTGCGCTGGGGTCGCTGTGAACAGGGTGTACATGATCATGGACTACTACCCGGACGGCACGTTGCTGGACTACTTCAAGGAGGTGGATCACACGCCCGAGCCGGTGGCGTACGAGTGGTTCGCGCAGCTGTGCTCGGCGCTCGAGTACGTGCACGGCCGCGGCTTTGCACACCGCGACGTTAAGATGGAAAATGTACTGCTAGACCGGCAGGGCAACATCCGGTTGGCCGACTTCGGGATGTGCGTGGCCGTCATGGAGCCAAACGTTAGTCCCAACGACGACCGCGAAAGAGTCGCATCCCGTCGGCCCGTCAACCTTACAGCGTGCGGCACCGTCACGTACATGTCGCCGGAACAGTTGTCCCGTGTCCCGTACAACGCGCAGTTGGCCGACGTGTGGGCTGCCGGTGTGCTGCTCTTCTGTCTGGTCGTCGGCCGTTTTCCGTTCCCGTACCCGACCGGAGTACGCGACGTGAGGCCACTGGTAAGTTCTGTAGACGTTCGCCGAACGGTCGTTAAATTTCGACTGCGGAAACGTACGCGTTACGAGCAACGTCTTGTAACTGCGAGCAACGAACGAGTTCGAGAGGAGGGGCATGGATTTCGTGTGATCATATCGATTTAAAATTTATCACCCAATCGTTTAGCCCTTTAGTGTTTAACGCACATTTATAAATGCATGCATACGGTTGACTGTTCTCGAGATTTAATTTTTCTAGGTCATTCTGTATTCATAACTAGGCTTATGTTGAACGCCAAACTAAATTTTCAACGTTGAAAAATACAACTGTTTACAGATATTGAAATGTCAGAGAGATGGATACGCCTTTGAACCACATGAAAAAAAACGTCTATCGATCGAGTGCCAATCGATTTTCGGGAAAATGTTTATAGACGAATCGCAAAGAGAAGAAATCAAAAATCTTAAAAAAGATAAGTGGATGGTTAAAGGAGCACAGAACAACAAAAATTAGTACCTTTTAATTTAATAGCGTGTACAATTTTATGAAACATGTCTTTAAACTAAACATAATTTTAATAGGTCGCGTAACTCAAAATAATCTTAAGTTTATACGAGGTATATCAAAAAGTAAATTCTGTTGGACAATAAAAATGAGTTAAGATATATGTTTAAAAAAAGAAAAATTTATTGGGACAAATTTTAAGCTATTTTTCAAAAAATTGGCCACCTTTATTTAAACACTTTTGACGGGGTACTTTGTATTCCTTCGCCATAGAAACCTGTGATTACAATCACTTGTTCACATCTTCTTTTGCCACGTCGTCATCGTTGGTTTTTGGTCACTAAATAATTATTTCATGTATAAAAAAATATGAAAATGACTAGGTACTGGATATAAAAAAACTGCATCTTGTAGTATAGAATAAAAGACAAGGCATGCTTAAACGCATTATTGTTTTTGTTCACGACAATGTCCACCTACACAGTGAATGTGACGAAACTACTTCTTCTCGATTTTGCATCGGAAGAATTTGATCATCCTCCCTACATACCCATACATGGCAATTAGTTTGTGTTTTTCATAATATTTTATGTATGATATAATTTTTTAGTGGCCTATAATGCAACGATGGCCACATGGTGAAAGAAGATGTTAACAAGTGGTTGTAATCACTTAAAGCATTTTTTTATGATGAAAAAATAAATAAACTAGTGCCCTGTCATAAGTACTTAAATAAAGCCACTTTTATTAAACCTTTTAAAAGAAATAGCTTAATATTTGTATTTATTTTTCCAATTTTTTTTTTTT